AAAATGTAAAAATTTGAACCAAAGGTGGAGAAATGAAAGTACAGGTCTCAACAATAATTCTGAAAGTGGTTGTGGAATATGTAAATTGGACAGTTAGGTGCATGTATTAGGAAATCTGAGGAAGCTATGGTGTTGTGAGAAACATGTGGCCAATGCTGTGGCATGGACATGTGGGGGGAAAAAAACAAAAACACACAACATATACAGTATTCAGTGGCATAAAAACAGTACAGTAATGCATGAAATGGGTAGAAAATATATAAGACTACTCTAATTTAACACAGAAAGCCAGAGAATAAGGTGGTACATTGAGATACCCATTTCTGCAGGTAAGGTGAGACCAAAATATATGGAGGTTTTACTTGAGCAATATCATTTGTATTAAGTGAGAAAGCTTAAATGGATAGAATTTATATAATTGTCAATAAAATTAAATACATCATACCAATAACAAATCCAGGACCTCAGCTTTGTGCCCTGATGTATTTACCATTGTACATTCAATTACTATCACCTTTAAAATGTTTGGAACACATTTAGAATTTTTATGGCAAACAATACATGAAATACACCATATTACACCAATTACTATACATTTGGTTCAATTACCAAAAATTTCATCTATTCACCTCGCTGTTAGTAGGATGATTTTCCTAAATGGAAGACAATGCTTGGAAATTTGTAAAAGCAATCTGTACAACTATTAAGTGCATATCACAATCACAGACAAATCCAAAAAATTTCTATGGGAGGCACTTACAGACCTAACTACAGTTGGGTCTTCATTTAAGCGGTCAATTGAACCCGTGGAGTACCGCGTAAAACGAGAAACGTGTAAATGAAATAACAGAACATATGGGATTAATTGAAATAGACTGGGCTGACCCCCAAACTCCACTTTTTCTGACACAATACGTACCTTGTAGTCAAAATAACATCTTAATTTTATGATGGTATGCACACACAATTAATAATTAAGAGAAATATCAAGAATATTAGGTTTTTTAACACTTACATTAGTAGAAAAGATGGCTGGGCACACGGGGATGGGGGGTTGGTTCCGAGGCAGAGGGCAGATTATTGGCCCCCACCTGTATCACAATCCACCACCGAGGCTTGCAGGACCTCTTTGTCAAACCCCTCTAAGTCCATATAAGTCCACATCCTCACTATCACTGACTTGGGCCGGCTGTGGTGGGTGGCGGGTGAAGAACTCGGTAATGTTTTGATGACGGGGCGACCTTGTGCTTGCCCTGTCCCTTCCCGCATAAATGACCAAATTTGCCGTGTAAATCAAGCATTTCAATTCTGGCAAGGCACCGCGTAAATCCAGACTCAACTGTAGTAGTAAGGTGATTATGTAATGAGAAAGAAAAATCTTGAATATTCAAAAACTTGTACTTTTCTATGATTAAAATATACAGAATCTAGTGTTCATCATATCTAGGTATGTGTCTGTTCACTTTGCACAGCTACAAGTTGGAAGATAAAGAGCAGAAATTTGGCATGGCGAAGCACTTGCACTTTGGAAGTGTCCCAAAGGTGGAATTTGGTAGAGGTTGAACCAGAGGGTGGGAGGAAGCAGAGTGCCAGGAGTCCCAAAACTGTCAAAAGCCCCTACAGGCCTGCCAGACCTAGGAACACCCCACCTACACAACAATAAACCCTCCCATCAAACCCAATTTTGAATTATAATTAATAATAAGTAGTGACATTTGCAACTTGCTAACCATTCAAAACTACCCACAAGGGATGGGGCCAAAAAGAACCTTGTTTCTTCATATATGCCACAGCAAACCTGTTATTAATCAGACACAAAGCTCCTCAAACCTGCAACCAAGACAGGAGGAAGTAAGAGTTCCTTCACATTAATGTAATAACCCTTCAGTGATTAATCTCCACTTTCCTTATAATCATTTGATGAATGAAAACCATATCCTTGGTTGGAAGCTTGTCTCCAGATCAGCAATTCAGCTACAGGAAGCGTTCAAGGAACAACAACAGACAGACCCCTCTCACCTAACCACCAGAGGACTGTTAACCAAAGATTCTGTGCCAAGGAATCAATACACCTTTGAAACAGTCCCTATGTGGTCAATTCCTCTTTATGACTGCTAGCCCATGATAGTCGATCCCAGACCCATGACTTAAGCAACAAAACCTAATGAAACCAATAACAATGATTCTGGGGTGGACATAGGCTTTTCTGTACTTCATACAGGTTAGCTAACTTTTTGTATTTACCATATACAGTAGCATGCCAGTTATATTCTCAACACATAGGTTCAGTATTTCTCATGAAGACGAAATATGATATGGTTTATCTTTTGGAGGTGAAAATCATATTAACGCTCAAACACCCATTCTTCCAGGGCCTTCATGTCTACAAACATGTTTACACCAACATACACATGCACCTACATAACAGTTAACCACCCTACACATACAAACACACAGATGCAATAGAACCTTTATAATTTGTGCTATGATGACTGAATTCTTAGTTGTCAGCCTTAAGTTGGTACAGTGATCCCTCGGTTAACGAATGCCTTGGTTAACGAATTACCTTCCATAAGAATCTTCAATTCGGTTAACGAACAAAAATTCGGTTAACAAAATTTTTATGAAATCATGTCAACATGTTTTCGTTTGCTCACCAGCTGGATTTTTAGTCCGCCAATACAGTAATCGGTTCTAGGGCTTAAATTCGTTCCCATTTGAGTAAATATCAAGAAGGTTGTACTATTTAATAATTTTCCAAGTTTTATATTAAAATTTTTAGTCATTTTAACACTTATTTAACATAATTGCAGTAAAGGAAACTAGTTTTTGGTGCGCCAATCAGCCACGTGACTCACCCAGCAAGGCAACAGTTTGTATCTCTGGTCAGTGGAGATAACATCTTGCTTGTGGCTCTCTTGAACATAAACAATTTTTACGGTACAATTATTGGTCATTCTGAAATTTATTTTACATAGTGACAATATATAGTGCAGTGTTGATTTAAAGAAAATAATCTTGAATAACACCTAGTGAACTTAAAATTTTATGGGTGAAATGACGGCATGCAACATGGGGTGATTTCTCTTCCACCCCCACTTCCTTCTCTTCTCCCTTCTCCTCCACCCCCACTTCTAATTCCCATCGTCATCAACCAGGAGCCTTCTACACACACACCTCAAAGTAAGTGTACTTTACTGCATTTACTTTTACTTTGTATGTAATTTTCGGTGAGCTGGAACCAATTACCCAAAATCCCATGAAACAATGGTTTTGGTTAACGAACGACCTTCTGGAACGAATTGTGTTCGTTAACCGAGGGACCACTGTACAGGTGAGTTTAATGCTCAACATGAATTTTTTTCCTGATAATACACCATTCTTCACTGTGGGGTGTGGATGTTTATAATACTGTCATGCAACAATTGACAATTTTAAAATATTCTATGAAATAAAAATGGAATCTTTTCAAACTATGCGCACACACATACAGTGAGTTCTGCTATAACGCGTGTTTTGATAACGCGAATTTGCTCTAACGCGATTTATGAATTCGGAACAATATTTGTATAACGCGATCGCTTGTTTGCTATAACGCGATTTTTGCTTACTATTTCTCCAATTTTGTGGTATTAACTGTGAATATGGTAAAGAAGAATATCTCCAAGAAGCATTCTGATGATAGAATTCCCGGTGATTATCGTAAAAGAAAGGATATAACACTTGAAGAGAAGCTTGATGTTATCAACCTCAAAATCACCCTTCTCCCCCATCAAGTTACATTCATATTTTTTCAAGGTAAAGTGTTAAATTTACTGTATGATTTCATTATTAGATATGAATGTAACATTTATTTAGACTGTGCTATCCTTTGTGTTAGGCTAACTACTAAATTTTTTCGATTTCGAGTAATCTGCACCTAACCCTATTTTCTCCATAAGCCCTGTTATTTCTATTACGCGATTTTCTATAACACGATATTTTACAAGAACACAATTATCGTGTTATAGCAGAACTACCTGTACATGCATGCATGCACATGCACGCACACATATATAAGCACAATGTGTCTTTTTACATGAAATCTTACCTAACATACAAGACTTTTTTCATCTCGTGAGTATTACGGTTATGATTATTCTAATGATATTATTAAATCCCCCACATCAATATAGAATTTAAAGTCATCACAACATGAAGTGTTAAAAGTGAAATTGTATCACTATATGTGGTGAACATAAATGCAAGCATGAAATATTTCATGTGACCATTTGAGAAATCATCTCGGTTGATATTTACTTTTACCAAACACCATCTATGATTTTACATGACTTTTAGTGTCAGGTGAGAAAACATGCACACCTTTTGAGTTTTCTTTTATTATTTTTGGCTGGTTTTGTGATGTAAGTCCCCTTTTATTTACTTGTAAGTACAGTATTGTGTTCGTATCTTAAGCAATTTATGCCTTTTGCAAGGGGTTCCATGATGTAACTTTACAACACAGGCTATGAAGTGGTAGTTATTCATGGCATAAACAAAGTGAAAAAACAATTAATCTTCCAGGTACATCACACATCATTCTAAAATACTCATTCAATAAAGTAATTCCCAAATGTTCTTGTATTCACATGAAAGTTGTTACAAATATCTCTTCAATGTCAGTGAATATTAAATTGCAATTACTGAAGGGTCTATAGTAGTTAAAGGAAAAATGCTAATAATGTTTCTTATACTTTAGTTACTGTATGGGGACAATAGTTCTTATTTATCAAAATGAACTCGCTGAAAGACTAGCTGTTCACCTGACCCACCATCTCTACTTTGTTACATCAAGATAAAAAAAAAGTCAAAATTGGTATTTTTTCTTTCTAGAAAAAAAAAGAGAAGGGGAGGAGGATACAATAGGATAACATAGTAAAATACAAACAAAATTATGGTTTAAATTGCCAGATTACATAATTTCAAAACTTTTTTATACAAATTATAGCTCAACTCGAGTCTTCTTTCTAGAAAAAAAAAGAGAAGGGGAGGAGGATACAATAGGATAACATAGTAAAATACAAACAAAATTATGGTTTAAATTGCCAGATTACATAATTTCAAAACTTTTTTATACAAATTATAGCTCAACTCGAGTCTCAACAAATGCTTCCTGAACTGGAGTTGTTCAAAAACAAGGTGATTGATGAAGCGATAAAGCCTGGAGCGTTAGCACTTAGGTTTTCATCAGCTGATAGACTATCTCTGATATTAAATCTTTAAAAATATATTTAATGAAACATTAATTTTTTTAATTCTTCTCTAAGAAATTGAACATTTAAAACACCTTAGATGGTCTTCTTACACTAAAGGTCACAACCTCAATTTATACACTAAAGGTCACAACCTCAATTTATACACTAAAGGTCACAACCTCAATTTAAAGAACCCACAAAACAAAACAATTATCAGAGCTAACTTCTTTGGACATCTCCTGTAAGGCCGGACTGGACCAACATTTACATAATTATGGTCTGGGGCATTCTAGAACATCCCAGAATATTCCCTCCAAAACATCTTTTTATCCTGAATTGCCTCTAATAATCACTGTATGTAAAATACAGGTTGACTACCAAATTTCCGGCGATCACTGGTCCGGAACCTCTGATGGTCCAGACAGTTTTATGCTGGTGGAATTTCAAATTTACCGTGCATTTATAGTGAACAATAGCGCGCCAGGAATATGCTCATGGTAGGCTAATCTTACCAGGCTGTGAGGTGTTGTGGATTTTTTTTAACTCCTAATTTCAGATAGACATACCTTCTTTTTTTTTTTTTACTCAGTTACATGCACATGCAATCTTACATATAGAATGTGTAAACAAATATATATCAAAGTAAAAAACATAAGTAAATCAACTTTCTTCGAACGTTAAGAATTCATGTTTGGGGGAGGGTGGAGGGAGGGATCTCGGCTGCCTCTTGTGTGTAGTTACACGATTGATAAAGTTTGTCATCCAGCAGCGAAATGGGAAGTGTGTTTTTTGGATTATTTTATTTATTAATATTATTTAGATTTAATCATCACATTTACTCGTATATATTATATGACACTAAGTCCCCACTTAACGTCGTAGTTTCATTTCTGAAAACCGCGGTGTTAACAGAAACAACGTTAACGGAATCAATTTTCCCCATAAGAAATACTGTAGATAAAATACGGGAGTTACTTTCCCCAGCTTCCCTTTGCTCCATAAAACCCATAAAATACATTACATATATAGAAATTCAATGTAAATTTTATAGAAAATAGTACTGTATATATTATACATCCAAAAAATGTAAATACAGTAAACTAAATCATTTTGAATAGTACTCAATGATCAGCAGAGGTGGAGCGAGTGGAGAGGAGGAGGGTGGTGAGTCACTGAGACCCGGAGGGTGGCTCCTCCTCCCGCTCTGACTGGGTGATGCGCCGTACACAGTAGTCTGTGACGACGTTGTACCAAATCGGCTGATGTTGTCCAAATCATAAGTATCTAAAGCGTAGCGATGTTATAATGAAACAGGTAACGTTAAACGAGGACTTACTGTATTTTAATCCTCATAGGAGTTGGTAACCGGTGCGAATTCAGTTTTAGAGTTGGTAACACTGTTTATAGCGTCAGCTGTTGTGGTGGTGGTCACGGCCAAGACACGTGGTGTAGATTTAGTGCGTTGTTACAAATTATGTCTCGGATTTTACCTATAACTATACCCTCGTTAATTTGGGTTTCAGGTAAATTTGTATGTTTTTTTTTTTTCAAAAATTAATTCAATTATTTGAATTTGGAATGAATCTATAATAACTGAGGAGTTCCGGGAGAGGGGAGGAGGTGGTGGGTGGCGGAGGAAAGGAAGGAGGGAGGGCAACTCGCCACCTCCCACTTGGCAGCGCGCGATCCCTCTATAACGACAGCATGCAATTCACCCATAATTCCCATATTATTTAGGCTCATTTGATGCTGGGTTAATAAAACTTCATAAAAAAAAATTCACCCTCCCGTCAATACCAGATGAGCTATTGCTCTGTAGTATATTCCTCTTGTTTACAGTGTAGTTACAGCTGACCTTTCATGTTCTCCCTAACACTATTGTTAAACCTCACCATCTCTCAACCACTATCATTGTCACTGCTCAAGGGTGTTGGTGCTTACCACAGGATCTGTCTTGAGCACTCAGTGTACTATAATATTGTAGCTTATTTGTCAGAACTTAATAAATATTGTTGGAGTGTATAGTGCACCTCCATATGTCCTGGTTTATTCACTGATCAGTTGTCATTGTGCACCAGTAGCCAAAGCGAGCCTTCATGTATCAGTTAATTTTAAAATATAAATCAGAAAATAAAATGTTATAAGACAATGGTTTAGTCGTGCTGTTAATTTGTGTGCTGTGTAAGTACCTTGTCACCTCACCTCGCAGTGTTGCATTTATTTATTACTGTATTATTTACTTTATTATTACTGGATGTACATTTTAAAAATATTTATGTTTGCACAGTAATAATAAATAGATTATTTTATGTGACAGCCAAGGCCAGGCCCAAAAACTGAACAGAAAACTAAAGAATAATCAAGCACAAAAATTTGGAAATTGTAAAAAAAAAAAAAAATATATATATATATATTACAAACTCGGATAGTTCGGAACACTCGGTAAATCAAGAGACCCATAGCCCCCTTTTTTGTCAAATTACTGAGGGTATGGTGTACAGACCTCTGGTGGTCCAGAAAAACCACTGGTCTGGCATGGCTCTGGTCCCAAGGATGCCAGAAAATTGGGGGTCAACCTGTAAGAGCACAGAAACTTAAAGTGGTGACCAAGTATATAACTTGCAAAGATCTTCACCGATTGGCTGATGAAATAAACAAATTCCACAGTGTCATGGTCACGTTGATGGCTAGTCTGTTTTAACTCTGTTGATTCTTATTATACTACACGCCTGCAAAACATGAATGGGTAGCTGGTTAGCTATCCCTAAGAAGAAACGCGCTTTTCCCTCCCCATGTTTACACTAAGGATCCCTCCGTAAGTCCCGCCTTTGTGAAGACAGTTGCCAATACTTTTTATTCCACTTTCTCCTGGCAAGCTCAATCTTGGATTAGTTTATGTAAATAAAATTTAGTAATTCGCCAGACCTTTGTCAACTGAGGGTCATCTTTGAATGTGCAACAGTTGGTTTGTATGTAATTTCTGTCATTGCGTGAGATAGCCACGTCTGGCCACTCAGGGGTATATAAACCCTGTACGTGAGGGAGATCGGCCTCCTGTGACGATCCTCCAACTCTGTTCTCAAGTATGTTAGACGTGTGTTCCCCGCCGATATAGCCATTCAGTTTGATTTAGCCAATTTTGTGAGTCTCAGTGTTCATGTTGTAACAGTGGAATTGTCATTCACCCAGTGTAAGAAGTAATATAAAGTAAATATCATCTGACGTTGCTAGATGAGAGATGTTGTTTGGGTTTGAACCACCATGCTTTCTCATGTGACGATCCTCCAACTCTGTTCTCAGATCCAGTTGGGGCTTATTAGAACACCCATCAGCCACCTGGAGCCGGTGGCTACCCAGCAGTGAGCGATATATGGACGATGTCGTTGATTCGACATGATTAACTGCAGGTCTGCCTCGTGGGCCTTAGACCCCAGACTCGCCATGTGTCTGGCTTCCACCGATCACAACAGCAGTCGTCAGTTGTCCAGTGTTATACCCTGGGACATGCCTAGAAGTTATATGTTCCATAGAGTGTGTTGTATTTGCTTGGGGATAATTCTGGAATATAATTATCCCATGTTGGGTAGTGAACCGATGTATCAGTTGTTGGTTTCAGTATTAACGTTTTGTGTGTTGTGAGTGCATCTCATATGTACTAACAACAATGTGAAGGTATCATACGTAAGTTTGTCTTATAACTGGATGTAATGAAATGTACCAAGTAATGTGTGAGAAGTAAAGTTGTCCACTTGGGACTATCTGAGTAAAGCCATGGAGTTGATCCTGGTAACTTAATGTAACGTATCACCAGTAACGTGGGAGAAGTCAGAGTACCCACTTGGAATGGCATGTGAGTAAAGCCAAGGAGTTGCCATGTGTATATGTTATGTGAGTAAGGCCAAGGACTTGGTCCTGGTAACTGTAATGTAATGTAACACCAGCAAGGTTGTGAGTAATAAGAGTACAGTATCTGAGTAATTGCAGTTGAGTAAAGCCGAGGAGTTGCATGTTAATGATATCTTTTTCCCTACTTTGATTTCATATTAATAAACCTTTTCTTAAGGGTATATTAGGGGTATTCATTTTCCCGCAGTACAGTAGTTCACCTTTACTGTATTTCCGCCCAAGTGACCCTGATATCAGAATTACAATACCCACGTGCCGGCCCTCGCCATGCTACCAAAGAACTGAGGTTATGTAGTAACCATTGAACTGGAGTAAGTAGAAAGAACAATTGAAGGAACTAAGACAAGAGAAGTATGAGTAAGACCAGGGGGGCAGCTTGAGTGAGAGAAGGAGAGAGAATAACCCCCCTTGTAACGGGTGTATGTTATAATGCACATAAAATTTAAATCTGTTGAGTTGTTTACATGATTTTTTAAATACTTCTTAAATTTGTAATTGTTAGATTATTTTTTTGGGGTACTACTTTATAAAGGAGCTTCGTTCCCAGAGTGCCGAATAAATTCATTAATAGAAGTATTACTATTTGTGAATAAAGCCCTTGTGATTTTCCTAATGACATTTTAATTCCTCTATATGAGCCTATTTAAATAAGGTTTTTGAAAAACAATATGCAAGGTGTCCAGAAGTTAAGAATCTGTTGTTGTAAAAAAAAAAAATGGACCATGTTTGCCACCTTATCATAGTGTTCATTGGATCCACCTTATCATAGTGTTCATTGGATGAAATGATGGTTTATCACCCATCAATATTGTGAGAGTGGAGGTGAACATTTGGGAAACATCATAAATTGTTGTTAAATAAAAAAAAATTCCTTTGACCCCAGGCTTTCCAGACACTTAATAATGTTACACCAACAGTGAGGATGTTAATAAATTTTGTGTCTTCATGAGACACAAACAGTACAGTATTTTGATAATGTTGGTGATGCATCAAAAAATTCTCTTCTTCATCAGTGAACCTTGAGCACATTTCTGGATGATATAATTCTTTCATTTTCAAACACCCTCTATGGTGTTTTGTACTCCAGTATGTATACTAAACATATCCAGTTCAATTATTATGTTATATCGTACAGATAAAGGCCTCATAATGTCTGGTTAGTGATACAAATAATTACAAATTAGTAATTAGGTTGATTACTGAATGTCAGTCTACAAAGATATACACAGAAAACCAACAAAACATAATTCAACGTTACAACATGTGGAAGCACTTGTCAGTGAGGTATAGCTTGCCAAGGAATATACTATGCAGTATGTACTAATATTCTCTCAGATATAAACTAAAAATTGCACAAATTTGTCATAATCATATATTAATTTAATATTAAGATAAAATGGAAATTGTTAGTAAAAATGCTATTTTGGCAGATACCTACTTATAGCTACCTTTATATAACTGGTGTTTTAAGAATTCCAAAATTCTTCCGAAGTTGTTCAAATAGAATAAATGTAATAATTGTGTGTGGCCCCAAACGAACAAATGCTGGTATATATCCCTGTAAGGTAAAAGAAAAAAAAATGTTAACCAAAGATTTCATACAGGGGATCTATTATTTCACAAACAACTTACAGTACTTATGTCATCAGTATCCAGACTTGAGTGGGTTGGCTGTGATTACCTGATGACAGCTCTCCAAACTGCATCGTCTTTTGCAGCCTCAGTCATCAGGTTCTTTTCTCTGGGCTCATTTCTCACAACCTCTTCCCTCGTCATACTTGGCCTACCCCTAACTCTTCCCTCCCCCCCTATTCAGTCATGCATCCTTAGACCCAAACGGCCTCCTCCATTCTCTCCACATACCCAAATCATCTCAGAGCTAGGACAGTGGCTGGGAATTTAGAGAATTGGTGAAGTTTTGTGTGGATGTAGGCTGAGATGGTTTGGTCATGTGGAGAGAATGGAGGAGACCATTTGGGTCAAGAGATGCATGAAGTGTGACATGGGTTTTTAAGACAGTTTAACCAGCATTCACTGCAGTTATTATACATCTTTAGTGACAAGGAAGACATTCCTGAGAGATATGCAAGCTGGAAACAATAAAAATCAAAGCCTGTGACCATAAATCATGTTTTGGGACAAGTATAGTCTGAAGTCTTTTGGCCTTGAAAACTCATTTGGAAATACAGTAGTATTTATCAACGACACATAATATTTAAGCAACATGAAGTTAACAACTATTCATAGAATGTGATAAAGAATATGAGTGCTGATAACAAGAAAGCACTACAGTATTAATTAAAACTCACCTTAAAAAATCCAAGAGGACCCAATCTTGCAGTAAAAGTGATTATATCCCACAATCCCTGCAAGAAGAAAAAGGTAATAATATAAGTACTGTACTGTACATTCAACTAAATGCTCATACAGGTTGTACCTCTCTAGCCCGGCATTCTGTGGTCCAGAAACTCCTGTGGTCCAGAACAATTTTAGTTTGCCCAATAGGTAGATAGGCAGCTTTTTTTTTTTCTTTTTTTTTTATACTTATCTAAATTATTATTATTATTATTACAGGAGTATTAAATTTTTGCCCCTCAGACCCCAATGTGGGTCAGTGACCTATGCCCGGGTGGGCTAATCCCCGTAAAAAAAAAACGACAACAAAGCCACAGGAAATTAAGGTTTGTTTACATCCAGCTGCTCTCTCTCTCTGCTTGTCTATACAGAGTACAACATTTTCTTATGTAGAGTAATGACGATATGTTTTCACATGTGCGCACATACATACGAGCAGTCTCACTTTTTTTTTTACCATTAATGGTTAGCTACTTATATTGTTCCATTTATTAACATTAAATAACATTACTTCAAACAACCATATTAATTTTTTTACATTAATTTTACTACAGCTACAATCAGGGTCTTATTTTCTTCAGTTTTATATGTAGAACCAATCAGTCACTGGTTTTGTAAGCTTTAACAAAAACAATGCCGGCAGCCGTCTCGTCCCCTCATGTGATTTAATATTCCATGTACCGTATTATTAATAAATTGTATTGTTCATTTTGCACACACAAACATTAATTCAATAAAAACAAAATCAGAAACATTAATTAAAATATATATGAACAGTAAATAAGTGTTGCTGTCATATTCTTATGTAAAGTAATGACGATATGTTTTCACGTGTGCGCACTTACATACGCGATCTCCCTTTTTTCTTTACCATTATCGTTAGCTACTTCTATTGTTCCATTTATTAACACGAAATAGCATTACTTAAAACAACCATATTAATTTTACTACAGCTACAACCAGGGTCTTATTGTCTTCAGTTTTATATGTAGAACCAGTCAGTCACTGGTTTTGTAATCAACGAAAACAATGCTGTTTCATTTTCTTGTTTTAATATTCTACGTATTATTAATGAATAGTATTGCTCATTTTTCACACAAACATTAATTCAATCAAAAAGACTTTCAGTAATAAACAATAATGAATCCTTTGTACATAAGAGAAATGATGCTATTTACACGATTGTGCATGTCGTCTGAACGTTGGTGGGCTGTTCAAACCCGTCGAAATTCGAGTTTCCGCCGTCAAAATTTTTAATTGTGTTTTTTTTTTGTGTTCAAATAGAAAATGTCAAATTAAAAACTCGCGAAATTTGAGAAGCTACTGTACGACATTTAACCCTTCAATATGTCTTCAAAGAGACCATGAAGCAGAGAAAGTGGAGCTAGTGCTTCCAAGCGTAAGCACAAGTCACTATCTATCCAGGAAAAGGGTGAATTTCCATGGTCCGGAAATTTCCATGGTCCGGCACCGGTCAGGTCCCGAGGTTGCCGGACTAGAGAGGTACAACCTGTATTATATTGTGAAATGCCTCAACAAATGATCATCTTACATAGTAAACGATTCATGTGAATCCAGAGTTAGAACGTTTCCTTTATTTAGGATACAGTATTACCTCTTTATACCAAACTGCTCCTTTATAAATACAGTGGTCCCTCGGTTAACGAACACAATTCGTTCCAGAGTCATTCGTTAACCACATCCATTTTTCAATGGGATAATTGGGTAATTGGTTCCAGCTCACAAAAAAGTACATACAAAATAAAAACAAAATGCAGTAAAGTACACTTACTTTGAGGCGTGTATGTAGAATGTTCCTGGTTGATGATGATGATGGGAATTAGAAGGGGGGGGGGGGTGGAGGAGGAGAAAGGAGAAGAGAAGGAAGTGGGGGTGGAGGAGAAATCGCTTGATGCAGTAATTTCACCAATAAAATTTTAAGTTCACTAGCTGTAATTACAGATTATTTTATTTAAATCAACACTGCACTGCACTAAATATTATCAGTATGTTAACTCAATTTCAGAATGACCAATTATTTTAATGTAAAAACGTAAAAATACTCTGTACTCAAGAGAGCGACAAACACGATGTTGCCTCCACTGTAAACAAAGTTAAACTGACGCTTTGGCGGATGAGTCAAGCGGCTGATAGGCGCACAAAAAACTAGTTCCCTGTACTGCATATATTATCAATATGTTAACTAAATTTTAAAATGACTAATAATTTTAATATAAAAAATGCAAAATATTAAAGAGCACAACCTTCTTGATATTTACTCCACTGGAAACAAATGTCAACATACAACCAATTACTGTATTAGCGGACTAGCAGATCACCTGATGCTCACAACAAAAAGTGTTATGGTAAGGATTTTGTAAATCGAAGTTTTGTTCATTAACCGAATTGAAGATCCTTATGGGAGCTAATTCGTTAACTGAAATTTCGTTAATCGAACCGTTCGTTAACCGAGGGACCACTGTGTATATACTGTATATACATACAGTAGTCTGGTTTTACACTGTTAATTAAACCCAGGGAGGTCCGCGTATAAAGCGAAACGCGTAAAAAATAATAACAGGACCTATGGGATTAAATGAAATAGAGACTGGGCCGACCGCCAGACTACCCTTTTTTTGGCTATCGCCGACACAATACGTACATTGTAGTAAAAATAACATCTTAATTGTATGATAGTATGCACACACAATTAATATGCAAGAGAAAGGCAAGAAAGATTATCAACTACAGGAGGAGAATCAATAAGACGAAATGCATTTGATTCCACCCTATCTAACAGTTCGACAGAAGAAGAGCCACCCCAGATATGAGAGCAGTACTCCAAATTAGGACGAATGAATCCCTTATAAACTCGAAGCAACTGCTCGGGGGTGAAGTAGCTTTGGCATCTGTACAGCATTCCCAGCTTCTGGGAGGCAGCTTTAGCAATGTTGAGGATGTGTGGCTTCCAGGACATATTGGAGGAAATGGTGAGGCCTAGCATATTTATTTCAGAATTTGGCAGGATGATAGCATCCTGAAATGTCATTGGTGGGAGATCATCTAATTTGGAAAGTGTAATTAGCAAATATTGTGTTTTATTACTTTTGAATTTAACCAAGTTTCTACCTCCCCATTCAGAGATGCTGCACAGATAGATGAAATTATATCTTCTCTAGAAACAGATCTAGTTTGAGAATTAGGGGGAAGGGAAAAATGTGAAAGAAGAGTGAAGAGTAGAATCATCAGCATAAGAATGGATAGAATTAGTCGTAGTGTGAAGTAAATCATTGACAAAAAGAAGGAAGAGAGCAGGTGAAAGAATAGAGCCCTGTGGGACACCACTATTGGTAGAGAAAGAGCGAGAGATCGATCCCTCGACAACAACTGCCATGGATCGGTTCTCAAGGAAGCTAACAATTTGAGAACTAAGTGGGGGAGAGAGGGAAGTTTAGAAAGCAAAGACTTGTGCCATATCCTGTCAAATGCTTTGGAAATGTCAAGGGCCACGATGAAAGCTTCCCCATAATCCCTAAGAGAGGATGACCAAAGATGGGTGCAATAGGAGAGCAGATCACCAGTAAATCTCGCCTGCCGAAAGCCATACTGGTGATCTGACAAAGGAGAATGGCGTTCAAGGTGATGGAGAAAATGAGAGTTTAAGATAGTTTCAATAATCTTAAGAGAGGGATGAAGTTAAGGCAATGGAGCGATAGTGAGAGGGATTGGAATGGACACCCTTCTTCAGGATGGGTTGAACCGAGGCATGCTTCAAAGAAGAAGGAAACGTTTGGGTTTTGAGGCAAAAGAGGCAAGCAAGCACAGGGGCCAGAGCGCCTTATTCACATCCAACCTGGATAACACACCAGCAACCCTACGAGTGGAGATTATAGGAAAGTGCATAGGTTCAGTAAGAGGAGGAGGGTGTATGTATATTATGTATGTTGTATGTATACCATGTATGTACTCTATATATACACATTATTTCTCTAGTCAGTAGCGTGTGGCAATGCCCCTGTTTCATGTCACCACACGCTTAGATAAATGTGCCTGGCGACATCTGGAAGCTGCTAGTATACCACTTACCACATGTCGCCCGAGAGGTCAGAGTGAGGTCAGTTGACCCTATAGGAGTGTAAGGACTACCTGTGCTTGTAAGCACACCCCTGTATATTTCCGTTAATAAGAACCTACAGAACTCTACAGGTGTTTATGTTCGCTCCTGTAGTTAGAACCAAGTACCCCGAACATCTCCAGAGGGAAAGAGGTGGAATTGACTAAGGTGGAATTAGAGGAGAATAAGGTGCCAAAGAGATTGGCTTTATCAGGGGGGAGAGTTGGCTAGTGAATTATGAGGTATATCAGGTATAGAGAGGTAATATTGTATTTCTTAAATGATTTGCATTACATAATTTAAAAAAAAATAAAAATTCTACTTCAGCTGTAAACTTACCCTGAATTCTCCTGGTTTGGCATTCATGGCCCGTGTCTTGATTACATCTACAGGCTGGGTCATGGTTGTAGCAATTGCACCCTGGGAAAAAATTTGTAAATGCAAGCATTCAAATATGTAGATTGATTTGGAAAATTACTATGAACCTAAACACAAGGTAATGTGACAAAAAGCACTATGTTCAGGAGTAGCTGGGAAATACTGTACATACAGTATTGGCATACTGTACTGGTAGTTCTCAGGATGTAGCAGTGAACTTGTCATGGACCAAATGGCATTTATAAAGTTAGAATAATAGTGAATAATGCACGGATGCTTAAATTTCACCAACAGTAAGGTCCTGCTGGACGAGTACCCGATGATTGAAAATTCAATTTAACAAATGTAGTGTTTTAGGTTATGAAAATTTAATGAACGAGCTTGTATTCAATTACTAACCAAAATTCCAAGTAATCCAGCTCACATTATCATTTGTGGAATTGGGCTAACCATACCTTGTCACTGGGTGAGTGCACTAATAATATTGTTTTCTATACTGTATTCTGAGGTGAAGTCAGTGGCTGATTACCTAAGCCTGGCTAGCCAGTGAGCCTAGACAACTTGGTGGTATCTACTTATCATCATGTTCTCTGTCTCATGAAACGTTCATCATTTTTGTTAGCTCATTTTTCATTATTTTTAACAAACAAACCTCAGAGATACAGTGCAGTAATAAGATGGAAAACATGTTGGGTTCATGGATCAAGATGCAGTACCAGTGCAAGATGCTTCTGAGTCATCTGGTGATGAGAGAGAGAGTGAGGAAAAGCCTCTGTCCCCTCCACCTACTAACAAATTACATCTTCAACAAACAATGCAAGACCAACACAAGCAGCATCCTTCTTCACTTTTGACAAGTTTCCCTCGACATTTTACTAAAACAATGTTTATTATTTGTTAGGTTATGTTTTAAGGTCAAAATTCTTTAGACTACAACACATCAAAATTTATACCATGGGGTTTTGGGTAAAATTGTTTTGAGCTGGAATCCTATGGGAAGAGGGTTGGGTACTACTGTCTTTACATTTTGGTGTGCTAAATATGCAAACTTCTTGTTTCACTATACTGTACAGTGTACAATCCATATGTTAAGATTATATGTTTATGAACACACTAAGATCATTTGGGAAGCAGATATGTACTTAGAGGAAATGAAACTAAGCAAGCAATGAAATGTAAATCATACGAGAGTGAGTGATTACGAGAATCATTTGTGGTCAACAATTGGACAGAACATTATGAAAGAGAAAGCTTATATACAGTATTAAAATATGCAGTGACTAAATTTTCTGTAAATTTAATTCACTTTAATTACATTAAATTTCTAAATAACACAGACATGCATCAATAGAAATGACATGAGATACATGCAAAACAAATATAGTACAACCTTGATAAACTGGACTAACTGGGGCAGACCTCAGTCCAGAATATGTGAGTCCAATAATTGAGAATCTATGGGGTCCGGACATAACCCTGTTTATCTGGAAAGTTTCCAGAAAATCAGACATATAGTCTGGGTGTCGATAACTGTTTTCACCAATATGATCATTTCATAGTACTGTACTGTATAAATAATAGAAGTGCTTCTCAATGTGTACTGGGTAGGAGTATGTCACTAATCAGGGCTACTCAATCATACTCGCCTGAGGCAAGTAAAAAATTGTACGGCAAGTCAGATTAAAAAAATCACAAGTCTGTCAGGCAAGTGATAATTTTGCCTAGTGCAAAAGTGAAGATCTTGTAAGTAGATCCTACGATTTTGAAAGGTTTTATATTGAACAGTTTTTCAATCTGCACGAGAATGCAAGAATAATGATTAATACTCGTCACCACCAACACAAGAAAAGATGGTGAGTGGATGTGTAGTAATTAATATTATGCAGTCGCGGACAAAAGTTCACTCCCCATGGTAAAACCGAGTCACAGAACTTAGTGTGTCTGGAGCGGCTGTGCTGTTTTATCTCATTTGGGGTCGATACTGCTTCAGTTTGGGAAGGAGCCTACTTTTGATCCAGACTGTACAGTAGCAATGAAAAAATGTAGATTATAAAAAAAAATTATGTCAGCCTAGGCTTTAAGGTAAACACACATTCAACCAAAGAAAAATGGTTAAGATCTTAGGCAAAATAATTCAAACAGTGGTGATGGTAATCCTCTTGGAAAGAGAGCAGAAGATGAGCCCGTATTGCATCATCCATATGTCACTCACTCACTCACTCTCTCACACACACACACACACACACCTGCCACCCTCCATCTCAGTTTCCATTACGGTATTTTAAAATAATAATTATAAAGTACAGTACAGTGGTACAGTATACATAACAGTAAATTACTTCAACTTGATATGTACCTTGTTATATTTTAGTTCTTATCATAATAAATGGCTTCTGTCATAATGAATTTTGTTGTTAGGTTACTACGTCATGGGATGGAGGAGGAAGAGAATTTTCCAGGTACTGAGAAGATTTTCTCGTAATATTCCAGAAAATATGTCCATCGGAAAATCATTCCCAAAGCTGGAATTTCTGGAAAATTCCAGCATTGGGAATGATTATCCCGTGAAAATTTAAATTCTGGTTATCGGAGGGGTTCCGGTTAAGAGGAATTCCGGCTAACGGAGATACAATAGAACGTCGATATAACACGAGATACGTTCCAAGAGATGTCACATTAAACCAAATTCGCAATAAATCGAAGTGTTGTTTCAATGGAATAGTTTAGTTTGGTACTTGAGAGAAACACAAAATACTAAAAAGACTGAGAGTCTACCCAGATGCACCTCAGCCCATCTCCTAGAATAAACAAAACATTATTTTTTGCATTATTATGTTAAAACAAACACTCATAAATCAACTCGGCTAAAATTATGGGATGTGAAACGGTCTGTTTACTAGCGATCAGCTGATGGGAAGATGGGGGAGGGGAAGGGGGGGGAGGTGATATGTTTGACAGTTGATGCCAATGGTCTAGTGCTTATTTATTTATCTGTCCTTAAGAGTGACTAAGTTTGTTCTCTTATAAAATGTCACTGAACTGACATGTTCTAATTAATATTATTACAAAGGGCTAAAATTTTTATCTCTTGTGCAAAATATATGACGTTTATATTCAAATTATTCGCTGTCTTGCAAGGATTCTAGCAATGTAAATTATATTCTCCTAACTTTAGTCTGTGATATTATACAAAATAAAAACTAAGCCAATAGCCACCAAACCCTGGCTGGGAAGATGGGGGAGGAGGTGACAGTAACATGCTTGACAGTTGGGGCCAAAAGTCTAGTGAAGTGCAGTATTTATTTGTTTATTTATGTCCTTTAGATTGAGTTTTTTGTTGTTTGTTTATAAAATGTTACAGAAGTGACCGGGGAGAACATAATTTACATTGCTGGAATTCTAATAAGATAGTGATTAATTTGAATATAATCATGCTATAGTTTGCACTAGACAAAAGTTTTAGTAATCATTTAGTACATTATTTTGAGTACATGTACAGTACAGCTTTGCCCTTAAGACAGTGTAGCGTGCCCAGAGAAAAATTAGGCGCGAATTTTAAAATATGATGCGCCAGATTGACTCGCGCAAAATAGGAAAGATTCGCTTTAAATGAAAACATTGTCCTTAATTGTGGGTGTCGCTTTAAACCAATAACCTTAAATTGAATAGCTTTAAATCGACGTTCTACTGTATAATTGATTGTGGTAATTCCAAGGCTGAGAGGTCAATGCTGGGATTTAAGGCATTGAAGGACAGGCTGATCCTTCTTTGTGCAAGGCTGGCAGTATAGTACGGTACTGTTTGGTATGCAATTCAGTACAGTTGATTCTTTGTTAATAAGTACAGTTCAAAATTACTGTATAATATTTTCCTCAAGGTACAGTGCTTTCCAGGTACGAAAAATGGAAAAATAATGCCACACCCTACCAAACTGCCAGCCTTAACCATACGGTGAAATTCGTCACCAGAATTCAATGAAATTTCAAAGTGCCTGGTGACAGAGGACATGTAGTGTGACACCTGGCAAAACCTGGAGATATCCCCATTACCAAACATCGGGATAGAAAAGAAATGGCTAATATGAAGGAAATAACCCTCTTACATTACTCTAAAGCCAAGTATAAACACCCTGCTATAATACTATATGTGGTGCACTTTCGCGGCACAGCTTGGATTTCAGTACTGTATAGACGTGATCGGTTCTTGTCCTAACCCTGTCCCGTTCATGGAAAGTGAGGCCTATGGACGGTGGGTTGTGTGATCCACCCCTCATTCGACCCTCACTCCATCCGCAGTCTGCTGCTGCCATCACCCGAAAGAAGGAGAGTGAGTCACTGGATAAGGCCTCTTTACGAAGAAGTGAAGTAAAACAGGCACTAGAAAATTTCAACAACACTCCTCGTATTGACAGAAATGAGGATATATTCAAGTGGTGGCACAAACATCTGCACCAGGGCATGAGGAAGCTTGCCAAGGTGACACTTGCACTTCCTTTCACACAAGTGAGTATAGAGCACAAATTTTATGGTTTAAGATATACAGTGGGGTATGCTATAACGAACGGATCCTACTACGAATATTCCTATAACGAACGGTTTTACCTATAAAATTGAGAATGCTATAACGATCGAAACTCCTACAACGAACATTATTTAAATTTTTTTTTTTTTTTTTTTTTTTTTTTACTAATTTATTGTTTTTTTATTACAAGTATTAATGATACTCTTTATTTCAGGGGTTTAGATGCATATTTATGCACTTTTTTACAATTTTTACGATTTTATATTATATTTTTCAGTGTTAAGTGGTTGTATTTGGGGGCCTGGAACGGATTAATCCTATAACGAACGAATGCTATAACGAACAAGGTTCTAGAACTAATTAGATTCGTTATAGCATACCCCACTGTATACTGTATTACAGTACACCCTTCCCATTCGCGGGTTTACGATTCGCGATTTCGACTATTCGCAGTAAGCAGCTGGTGGCTCGGGTGGCTAGCATGCGGCTCACGTGCTAGTCACCCTCCCTCAGAGCAACAA